GGATGTGAGGGGAAGAATGGAAAGCGAGCAGCTCGAGCGTCCGACTGTCTGTGTGTCCGGACTTCTTTTTGTCCGGGAGTCTGGTCGCGTGTGGCTGTGCTTGTTGCGTTCCGCCGCTTTTGGAACCACTCCGCTGCTGCTGTCAGAAGACTCTCTATATGAAGCCTCACCTCTTCAACTGCGGGCGTCGTTGCCGTCACAGTCGCTGATGCCTGTGGAATATGTGCCGGTTCTGACTGGCCTCCACCTTCCTGCTCTAAAGTCGGCGAGGCGGAGCGAGACGTACGCTTGGCTGGCGGCGGACCGTCAGCTGGCGGGAACGGGCTTGATGTCGGTGGAACTCTTGCTCGCTTTTGTCCTGCATAAGCAATGCCGTTGTCCTGGCCGCTATGTATTTCGCCGCCTTCCGCCATGCAGAAAACTTGGTGTGGGGGTGTTGAGGCACAAGGGGGAGGGTAGGGGAGTGGGAGCAACGTAACAGTATGTGTGTAAAAATGGAAGACTGACTTATATTACGCGATGATCGACCAGCTTCTTTTCTGTTTTTACTTTCAACGTTGGGGTTTTTGACATGCTGGGATAGACATTGACATCCATCTTGGCTTAACAATGCTGTCCTCAGGGAGGGGCATTGGTCAAGAGTAACCGACCGGGAAGAATTCAGCAACCGTCAGCTTGAGACCCTCCGCCAAGTTGGGCATGGTCCCGGTTTTTGTTGCCCGCCGTGGGCGCGGTTATACGGGCGTAAAATCCAGGGTAAAAAGCCCGGGCGGGGACGCTCATTTTCGGAGTTTTCCATCGCTCTCGTCCTTCAAGTTCCCCCCTGTGCGTTGATCTTGCACATGCAAAGCGCCCGTTCGTTATTGCGGCCGCTGTTGTTACATTTCAAACGTCCCGTCGTCCCTGCCACTGCCTCTCTTGCCAGATTTCAACACATTCGCAAAATGTCTGCGACAAACAACCACCTCCTCGCCGACACCGCTCTGCCGATCTGCAGGCTCGAAGTCAGCAAGCACTTTGAAACGCTCACCAAGGAGCAAAAACTCTACACCCATCACATTGCCCGCGCCTCATGGGCCGGCTCCAGAGTTCTCTCGCGCTCGCAATCCGAATGGGCGCCGGACCTCGTTGATCTTTTCCGGGAAATCTTTACCGATCCCACCACCCTGACTGCCGCCGTGCCGCGCACACGCGACATTGCTGCGCTTAAAGCGGCGGCGGGCGTTGCGGAAGATGAGTGGAAATACTTTATGGAATACGCCGTTTCTATTCTCTACAACCTGGGCAATATCAAGAGCTTTGGCGATACAAAGTTCCTGCCACGTGTTGCGGCTGACAAGTTTGAAAAGATCGTCAGCGCATCGGGATCCGCAAAGGCCACCAAGCTTTTTCAGTCGCTGCGCGAGTTTATATATTCTAGCACGCCGTCCGAGGCCACGCTCATTGGCTTCCCGGCCGAGGGCCACATCAGCGGGTACTACACCTCCAACATTTCAAAAGCCGACGTTGAGGCGGTCCAAGCGCTAATTGAAAAGCACGACATTTCGGCGCTCAACACGCGCCTGCACAAGCACGCCGACGGGACCTTTGAGCTACTCATTGCGTGCGCCGAGTCCAAGACTGGACCCACGCTTACCGGCGCGGACGGACTGCAGGTCAAGGTCACATACGGCGACTTTTCGACCGATTTTGCCAAAATCGTCGACCACATCACCGCCGCGATTCCGTATGCGGCCAACAAGCATCAGGAAAAGATGCTCAAAAGTTACGCAGAGTCTTTCCGCACGGGCTCCATCGACGCCCACATCGAAAGCCAACGCCATTGGATCAAGGACGTCGGACCCACCGTCGAGACCAACATTGGCTTTGTCGAGACGTACCGGGACCCCGCTGGGCTGCGTGCCGAATGGGAAGGGTTTGTTGCCGTTGTTAACAAGGAAATGAGCGCCAAGTTTGACGTTCTCGTAAACACTGCTGAAAAGTACATTAAGCGCCTGCCGTGGCCGAAAGAGTTTGAAGTCGACACTTTCCAGAAACCCGATTTCACATCGCTCGAAGTCGTCAACTTTGCGACTAGTGGTTCGCCGCCCGCCGGTATCAACATTCCAAACTATGCATTCATCCGCGCTGAGGAAGGTTTCAAGAATGTGTCTTTGGGCAATATCTTGTCGGCCAAGGCGCCGAACGAAAAGATCACGTTCTTAAACGAGGAGGATGCAGCGCTGTTCAAGAAGTACGGTGGGCCTGCGTTCGAAGTGCAAGTCGGACTGCACGAGTTGTTGGGTAAGGGACATGGCATGGGGCGACGTCTCTTTTTCCACAAAAGTGCACATTGTTGAACCGCTTTTTCCTTTCCTATTCTCCCTCCGCGTCACGCAGGACACGGCAGTGGCAAGCAGCTTACCGAAGAACCCGCTGGCAAATTCAACTTTGACGCCGCAAACCCGCCCACCTCGCCGCTGACGGGCAAGCCCGTCACGACATGGTACACCCCGAATCAAACGTTCGGATCGGTATTCGGGCAGCCGGCGGCCAGTTACGAAGAATGCCGTGCGGAAGCGGTTGCCATGTTCTTGTGTGTTGACAAGGAGATTCTCAAGATCTTTGGACACGAGGGACAGGAGGCAGACGATATTGTCTACATGTGCTTTTTGCAGATGGCGCGCGCCGGCGTGCTGGCGCTGGAATTCTGGGGTACGTACGGCGGGGGGTTCGTGGGAAGAGAGGTGGCTTGCGTTCTCATGTGAATCTGACATGCTCTTTGTCGTTGTTTCCTTTCCATCGTTACAGATCCCAAATCGAAGAAATGGGGACAGGTAGGGAGAAAAACACAGGAATACGGAAGTGAAAGGGCCCTAGCATTTTCTAATTTTTTTGTTTTATTTCGCGGCAGGCTCACATGCAGGCGAGGCACGCGTTGTTGAAGGTGTTCCTCGAGGCAGGCCTCGTCACCATAACGCCCGCGGCGCACAACGGCGACTCATCGTTCATCATCGCACTCGACCGCGCCAAGATTGTCACCCACGGCGTACCCGCCGTCGCTAACCTCCTGCAAAAGCTTAACGTATACAAAGCCACCGCCGACGCGGCCGCGGGTCTGCCATTCTATACGGAAGCGACACGCGTCACGGACGAATGGGCCGAGCGCCGCAACGCGGTGCTGCGGGAGAAGCAGCCGCGAAAGGTGTTTTTGCAAGGCAATTCGCAGTTGACACAGGATGGAAATGTGGAATGGAAGGAGTACCATGTGAGCTTGGAGGGTTTTGTAGAGAGCTGCATCGAACGTGGCTTTTAAAGGAGGAGGAGTTTTACAAAAAGAAAGCCTAGGAGCAGATTCTTATATAGGTTCAGGATACTTATAACATATGAAGCAGGTCAACCCAATAATAAAAACCCAGCAAGCCCGGTCATTGTGCCCTCCACAAACGTTGCCAGGGTCTAGCTGTTAAGCACCTCTGGCATGGTCGACGCAATTGCTGACAGTACGGAGCACGTCCGCGCGTCGCTCTACAGAGCTGACGAAGTTCGTTTTGACTTCAAAGGAGGCAATGGCCCGGCCAATCGAATCGTAGACGAATTTCACGGTCCGCCCTGCTCAAGCCTTTCATGCTCAACAACTTTGTCATCAGCATTGACTGCCGCTATCTGCTTACGGTCTGGGCGTGGCGCCGGCTGGTCAAACGCCGGAGCCATGGCACTGTTGTGGTCGACCGTGTTGAGGAATGGACCGACGCCGGTCCACTTGTTTTGCCACGCTGATGTCAGTATTGTTTGCGCCCAAGATACGACTCGGTGGCACGGCTGTTCCTGGGATGGCTCGACAGCCACTGCGAGGCTTCATAGCTTTGGCTAGAGGCGGGCGATTTGTGCTCGATTGCGGTATATGACCGTGGTTTCGCTGCTTCCTGTCATCACCAACCTGCGCACGCGTAACGGAAAGCAGGCGTGAGCAAAAGGCGTCGCTGACCTCCCGCCCTAGATGTCCACTTTGAACCCACCATCTTCTGAAGCGCATCTAATCTGCCAATGCGCACTCCCGGGACAATGTCATACTCCACTATCGCGCGTTCCTTTGCCAGGATTGCCTCGTCCAGAGAAGAATAGGAGCCCAATGCAGTAAAGGCGTTTGGCCCAGAAGAACTGAACTTGGAATCTGTCTTTCTGCTTATGAGTCGATGGCGGCAGGTCGTCCTTCTTCTTCCTCTTAGCCAGTGGGTCAAAGTCGGGAACGAGATTGACGTCCCCCTGTGGACAAAGCGGTCGATAGTCAAGGGCGATCTCCACTTTGCGCCTCCAGGCCTTGGCGATCTCAATGTTGTCCGTGACGCCAAGGTGGGAGTAGCAGCCATCAAGCTGGATGAAAACCTCGTATTTCAACTAGTGACCAGCAGGTTAGTGTGTCCTGTCTAAACCACAAATCCGATCCTTACCTTTTTTTTGTCCCAGGAAATTCCAGGACGACGTGTTGTCTGCGCTGGAGTTACCAGCTGCAGGTTCTCCGGCCGGTTATCGAAGGGGTTCCCATTTATTTGATGAATGATCGTCCCCTTTGGAATCTCCTCTACTCAGGTCGTGAACACCGCGCGGTGGACTGCCAGAAAAAGGAATACTCCTTTGACCTTTCCCTGCCTGTGCCCGTAACGCGTCTCGTGATGGCGCCAGCGGCGCTCTCTCCGTTTCTTGCACAAGTACACGGTAATGACCGGGCTAGCAGCTAAAAGCCCAGTGTTCCTCCTATCCGATCATAAGCAGGAACACTTGGCTGTTGGCAACTAGCCCGGTCAACAGTGTGCGGCTCTTAATCGTCCGGATAAGCTAGCAATGTTGCTCTCGGCAGAAGACTGTGTGCTTTTAATTCGAGGCCGCTTTGAAGGTCGCGGCTCCTTGGAGTTCATCTACAATTTGAATGCACTGGTGAGGGCCAGGAATGTGTGGTTGAAAGGTCAGTCTTGTGTGTGTCAACGCATTTTGCAACTCTTAAAAAAATAAAAATTCATTTTCGACGACGGCAGGATTTGAACCTGCGCTCCCAGAGGGAATTGGCTTAGCAGGCCAACGTGTTAACCGCTCCACCACGTCGTCGTTTTTTTTTTTACTCGGAGTCCAAAAAACATCTGTTGTGGCAACGTAGGCGAGGCTTGGGTGGGCACTTTTTCTTTCGCCCCCGCGCTGGTTGGCACATACTTTATCAGCGTTTTTAGGTAAGAGCTGAGAGTGTGTAACGCATGTTTATTGTAAAAAAAATAAGACATAAAACTTGGAGTCATGCAGGAACAGTGTTGGTGATGGCAACCGCGACGGCAGCAGCAAAGGCTGCGGGTGTAATCGCAAAGCTGGCAGCCAGCATCCAACAACAAAAAGAGAGCCGCGGGATATATCCCCCGTTCCATTGCAAGCAAAAACACGAGCCGACGGCCGCTAGCCTGGCTTCCAATGTGTGCTTGTTCAGAAAAAAAGAAGAAAGCGCCGCCGCGACAACACCGCGGTATCTCCTATTCCATCACAAGCAGATACACTAGGCCCGTGCCCTCTGGCCAGACCTAAAATGAGTGCTTGTTGCAACGGAGAATGCGCGGGAAGCCTAGCCTTGGAACCACCGTACCGGCCACTTGCAAACAACCAAAGAACATGTGTACCGGTCTCTTCAAGACGTTGCCGTACCAGCTGCTTGCAAACAAGCAGAACTCAAAGGGGGGGCGGGCAGCCGCGGGGGGGGGGGGCAGGAATGCGTCGCAGGCTAAGGAGCGCACGGGTTTACGCTTCATATCTAAGCTTCTACAATGACACTGAAGCGGCACCACCTCAGCTCGGTCTTTGTCAGGCATCACACGGCCAGGGGACAAGCGAACGGAGCGCTGCCACGGCAAAGCCATACAATTAATGCTAGGGGACAAGCGAACGGAGCGCTGCCACGGCAAAGCCATACAATTAATGCTAGGGGACAAGTGAACGGAGCACTGCCGCGGCATAGCGAGAATAGGGAAGACGAGCCTTTTAAGCAACGGGGGAATGTCTCTGTGTCAGGGGGAGAATGGGGAAAGATTGTCGAGCACTCGAGGGGGAGGAGAGTGCGTTTAAATAGTGGTTTTTCTTTATGTTACCATAGCAAGCGAGCGCTCACGCTCAGCCCTTTCTCGCGTTTGTATCCGCGACCTGTCAAATTCCCAACCTGCATCGTGCCGGGTAGCCGGTAGTGAGCCGTTTAGCCTCAGCCCGCTGCCGCAGCTATGCAAAGCGGCATGGCCGGCATGCCCTCCCGCTGCTCCTCTTTGCAACCGTCTTTACGCATGCATTGGACCCCTTTGTCCGCTCGAGCCTACAGACACTCCTACAGTTACTCCCAACTTTCTTCTACAAATGCCGCCCATCCGCCTCTACCATGTCGCTTCCCAAGTCGCATTCGGCGACATATTCAGCCCGGAAGCCATTCCTTCTTGCGGAGACGGCCAGCAGATCTGCCCAGGATTACCGAGCCGCGCCTATGACACTGACTGCATTTGCGACGCTAATGACTAAAACGATCAAGGACAATATGGAGGCCTTGCACCTTGACACTTCTGGCCTCTCGCAACCAATGCTCTCTTTTCTACTGCCACAAGACGACAGTTGTTTGATTCGAATCGCTGAAACACTGATGATCAACCCAGTTAGTGTAACCGACCGTGACATGGTGGAAGCATTAGAGTTGGAAGAAGCGGGGCCCAACTTTCAAACCGCGGAGGGGTGTGCGCGCTACCTTGCGTGCCATGCCGGACTCCCCTCCTCCAACAAAAAAAGTCCACAGCTTTCGCTAGCAGACTGCGCTGTGCAGAGGGGCATTGACATGGTTGGCGCGATCTTGCACAAGAATATGTTACCAAGGAAGAGGGACTGCGGAAGCAGGTGTCAATAAGCAACCAAATATATTTTGTACTGAGATGAGTCTCACCTTTTTTTTGCGGTATTCAGAATGAGCCATAGGCCCAGCAGTGGAGATGGCGCCCAGCGGAGATGTATGCGACTACTGGCGCCGGCAGTGGACAGGCCCAGCAGCAGGTGCAAGCGGCCAGAGCAGCGGCCCTTTTAGAGAGACACAAAGAGAGGGCGGCGGCGCCAGACCTGCCGCCATGCCACGCGGGCGAGATAAAGTGCGCAGGAGTGGTTGCAACGAGACGAGAGGTATTCAAAATTTAGGGAAAGGGCGGGGAGATGGTTGATGGTTGACGGGCGTTGGGCTGGCTGCCTTTTTATAACATGCGGAGAGCAGTGATGCCGGCGCCACTGCGCCAGTCGACCGAACGTTTTTCAGTTTTCGAGTGTTATCGGAAGATTGGAGAGTAGAGAAAGGTGGTAGAGACTGTCTGTTCTATACCGCTCCAATTTATCCTGGGGCCATGCGGGGGCCATGCGGTGGTGTCTTTATGTACTACCGGGGTTAGCCCGAGGCGAGGGGAGTTCTTTCGTCCTTTGTTACGCTTGTACTTGACAGGTGGAGAGTGGAGGGGAAAGCCGCGTGGTTTGTGTTCCGGAGTCGCGCGTGTCAACCCTCTTTCGCTTGACCTGTCAGACAACTGACTGTCGTGGATGATTTCTTGCGGCGGGCGGGGCGGCCGCCCTCACAGCTTCGTCGTCATTACAAGACCATCAATGGCACATTAAACCCTACGCAAACAAAAACCAGCCCTCATCAACGACAACCTTGTAAATTGTGTACATTCAATTCCATAGAAAACATTAAACCCTACGCATACAAAAACCAGCCCTCATCAAGACAACCAGCGCCCATCACCTAATTCGCTTCTTGTAAGGGGTATAGAGTGCCGTCGTTTCTCGCGACCGCGGGGCAGCCCCCCGGAACGATGGCAGTCGGCTTGAGATTTCCAAGCTCTTCACTCCGCACCGTCTCAGCAATGCTTGTACTTTCAATGCATCCGGAAACACCACCTGCCGCAAGAAGTCAACTAGCTTGAAAACCTCCAGTGCGCGCCCTGCAATGGGACCAATAGAGAGGTCAAAAGTGGGACCGCGTCGGTCGATCGCCCAAAAAAATCCGCCCTGGCCGCTGACGGGAAAGACCAGATTGAATTCTATCACTGCATCGGCGACATATGCTAAATGAATCCGGGCATCGTCGATTTCGTTTAGTTCACAGAGGGGAAGGAGCTTTCGCGATTCGAAAACCCCCTCTGCGGCACAGACCAAGTAGTCTTTATGAATGGGTGCGATGTCGCGCTGAAATTCGCAAACAAAGACCCCGACCTCATCCCGCTTGGACGGCGCAGTGATTGTGAGGTCTGACTTCCTACATCCCTCACTTGCCGTCTCATTGAATTGATGAATGTACTCATAGCGAATCCCGAGAGAAGGCGCACAAAAGAATACCGAGTCCGTGATAATCCTACTGACTAGCGTTTTGGTGCTGGCTTCACACCGGGACGGAGCCGCCAGGGCGGCGTCAACAGCTATAGCTGTCAGCAGCGATACTCCAAGCGCTGGTGGGATGCAGTCCATTAGCCGCTTGCCGGTACAGAAAGGAAATTGGAACCAACTCTGCGCGCCGCTATTAAGCGAGCCTTTCTCCACTAGTTCGGCCATAGCGGTATCGTATTCCTTCAGATGCGGCATGTAAGAGAGCGCTTTTATCATGGCTACGTCGATGGGAGGCGGCCGCAATGAGTGTCTGAGGTTTCCATAGTTTATCCCTCTATATTTGACGTTTAGATCGGCATGTGCAGCATCAACGATATGCCATCGCAGAAAGTCTTGCAGGTGCCGCCCTTCTTGGGCCGTGTCCGGATGATGGCTTGCCGCCATCGCCTCCACCAAATGTACATAGTTATCGGGAATCGCACATTGGGCATCCTCCTCCGCATACGGGGCATCTTTCTTCGCTGTGGCATAGGGTTCATCATGCTCTGCCGGCACAGCCTCCGCCCGCACAGCGGGCTCATTATGTCGTACTGGCGTTGGAGTGTCAGGCGGGGCGGTGCAATGTCTTCTGACCAGTTGTGCGGCCGGTTCCGCGAAGTCCCTCATAACTTTTAACCCAGTCTGCTTTTCATTTTCTACCTGGAATGTGAGACGGCCAACACAGTTAGGGTTTGAACTATTAATGACCCCGAGGTGAACTCAGCTTACAGCAAGTCGGGCCGTTTCAAACGCACGCGCATCCTGTGAGTGGCTCGGAACATGAATCATTAGTTAAGCACTTACAAAAAAGGGTGGAACAAAACTAGCAAAGACATTGAAAGCCCGCACGGCGCGGATAGTGTCATACGACAGGTCCTCACACGCGGACGTGTCCCTCCTGGTAATCCGAGGAACAGGCAACGCCGGAAGGGTACTGCTCCCAAGGGCTGAGTACGTCTCCCCAATACGAATACCACTACAAACGGGCTTAATCATGAAACCAAGATGGGCAGCGCGGATAGTGTCATACGACAGGTCCTCACACGCGGACGTGTCCCTCCTGGTAATCCGAGGAACAGGCGACGCCGGAAGGGTACTGCTCCCAAGGGCTGAGTACGCCTCCCCAGTACGAATACCACTTCAACCCATCTGGTCGTTTTCACTCTGATCGGTTACATACCATATATCGTTTATGAACGCGTTTGTTGAAACGGTCAATCTTGGCGTTGTCCCTGTCCTCCAGTGAGGCAGTCGAACGAACATAATCTCGAATGGCCGTCAAGTGATCCCGGTAGTCATCAAAGTTTGAGTTGGGAAATTGACGCAGAAACAGGGCAGGCCCAGGGACTCGCCAGCTAGAATCGTCCATGACGGCGACTGTTATAGGGGACGCCAAAAAGCCAGAGGTGCTCAAGATTCTGGGCGCATACGAAAAGAACGGCCAGACTGGATGATTGATTTCGGTGGATGAGGGAAAAGCGATGGAGGAGGGCGGCGGCAGGGCGGCCCGGGGAACGCGTTTTATTACCTCGAATATATGACAGCGCACGAAATGCATATCACAACCACTTTTCATGCGCCCGCCTGAACCGGCTCGCCGGTTCAAGGTCCATCTGACGTTGCAGCTTCTTACATGTGCGCCCGCCATGAACGTGCATGAAGCAATAGAGAGAGAGCACAAATAATAAATTTAG